TTTTTTTTTATTTCATTTCCTTTTTAGGAATTTATTTTATTTATTTTTCTTTTTAATTTAATTTGTTATTCTTTTGTTAATTTAATTTTCTTTTAATTTATAGATTTTGTTGTTTTAAAAATAAGGATACATTTATATTTTTTATTTCATTCAATTTTTAATATCTTGTTAAATTTTGTTTTATTGTTTTTTGTCGTTTTTTTGATAAAAAAATATTTTTAATCTAATTAAAGTTTTAAGTGCTATTTATTTCTTTTTTGATTAAATTTTTTTTATTTCTAATTTAATTTTCTTTAGTTTATTAATTTGTATTTTTTTTTAACGAAATATATATACGTACTTTTTTTCTTTACATAATTTAATTTACAAAACTGATTACTAAAAGGCGAGCAGTATAACGCTAAGACCTCCTCGTTGCCAAAAAGGTGAAATTGTTGTTTTATCAATTTGTAAAAAAGTGATAATTTCGCACAATCTCTAAAGCTATTCGACTTTTTTATTTTTTACTTCATGTTCTGATGCTATGAGTTATGAGGCTTCCAAAGTCTAAATACAATGAATAAAATGTTTTAGGTCAGATACATCTTTTCGGCCCGGCGAAGATAAGGGGTTTTCCCACCCATTTACTTAGTCATATGTGTTATGTTTTTTAGCAGCGAGCGGATTTTAAATTGAATATATATCAAACAGTAAGTAAGTTTACCAAAAAATATATATATGGGAAAAAATTGCAGAACACCGAGTTACTGAGTACCAAGCTAGGTGTGAAGGCCTTAGTATTTTCCAAAAATCATTTTAATCAACGAACGGTCTAATGTGTATATATATCGAAACCAGCCAGTAGTTTTACAAGTTTACCATATTTTCTAGACTCCTCCTAAAACCTGGTATATGGTATTGGATAAAACAAAAGCAATGCAATCAGCTATTGGAAGTACATAAATATGTCCATACAAATATCATCGCATAAAATTTTAATATAATGTAGTGTCAATTTACAGCAAAACTTTCACAAATATACATATATGCATACTTATGTATACAGGGTGGGCTAAATGAGACCTAACAATGTTAAACATGTATAACTTCTGTAAAAATCATGTTTCCATTATTTTACTTTTATATATTAAATTCATTTTACAGAAATTAAGAGGCACTATATTGGAAAAATTACATCGGGAAAATGCCCTCCATTTTACGCGAGACACACACTGGCTCTTTTTAGCGCGTTTTCCATTACACCACGTATTATTTCTGATTGCAGGCTCCATTCTTCATTTCGAATATTTTGCTTCCGATGTCGAATAGTATCTTGTTTAACATACGCTTTGTGTTTTTGATATTAAGGGAATTGCGGTAGTAATGCTTGCACAAATTTGAATTTCGTATGGGTACACCTGAGTGTTCAACCCCGAAATCCTTCACAATGTTATTCTGGAAATTCTCAATTGGCCCCGGAATGTCGGCGAGCTGAGACAGAGGCAACATTTGCAAACCTCTGCCGCACAACCTCCACGTTGGCTTCAGTGT